TGAGCGCGGACGGAACGGCAAGGGCCCATGAACGGCCAGGCGGGCACCACGGTGCCCCCCGCAGGCATTGGCTATGAATTTGGAACGCGTGTCGAAGGGCCGCCTCTGGCAACCGGCCAGAATCTCGGCAACACTGGCGGGTGAACTACTACGGAAATTCGGGAGGAAATTGAGTGTGAGTGGACTCTTTGGGCTCTTCAAGAGTTTTTCTGATTTTCCTAGATCACCGTAAGTACTGGAATGTTAACTAGTGAAAACACATTTTCGACACCCGCAAAAATCGGTCGGTCGGTCGGTCGGTCGGTCGGCCGCGGCCCGATAAACGGATTCCACCTGAAAAATTTTCTTGAGCTGGTCACAATGTTTCTTAGCATTTTTCGAAAACGCAATGATCAAGAGCACCTTGATACCATAATGTATAGAAAAGTACTAGAAAAAAATTAAACTTATGGAAAAAGACGTAAAAACGTGCGTGACCCCTGGCGGGGTGCAAACACTAAATCTTTGTGATGGATGTATAATTGCACTAATCCATTGATTGCGTTTTAATCTACAGGAATGGGGATGTTACGTTTATCGAACTGTGGGCGAAAAGAAAACGAGATTAGAGCTGTTGTAGCCTTTGAAAAAGTAAAACGCAACGCCTTTACTTGCTTCGAAAGATCTGCAGCAGAGCAACCATCTAACAGCGTATGCACACGACCTCCAAGACTTCTAAATCTAGGTGTTTTTCCAAATCCACCACTTTTTTATTCTCTTCAGAAGTGTTGATTCGTTGATCTTACAAAAAAGAAGGTGGCAGTGTTCCGATTGCCGGCCTTGTCCAGGCCGGGAAGTATCATATTTCGTCACATCCCTATCCCGGGGATGATAATAAATCATGGCTGGCGTTCTTCAAAGTCTTTTGGACTTTGTTGCGTGATCTGTGTTTGTTTTTCGGGCGCTCTTTAAAGGGGATCAGTTTTTATGACGGCATGTGATCATTTCATCTGCCTTTATCATCAGCATCACGCTATTTAACGCAAAACATTTCTCACGACCTTGCCTCTTTTTTAAATTACTTAATTAAAATAATCTCAAATAACGATTGTTTGAATTATTCTCCCTATTTGTTCCTGACCCCGACGCAGACGTTTGCTGTAGTGCCAGAATCGTCCGAAGGAGCGGTAAAACTGGATCGTTTTATAGTATCTAGAGCCTGTTTACAAATTGAGGATATTTAGCGGGAAGCTCGATACATCAAGCTGCAACTTTCCCGCTTTTTGTCACGCCGCGCATTCGCAACTTTTCAGTTTTTCCGGAGCCGCACTTTCCCAAGGTCCGGTCACGTACCCAGACCTGGCAGGAATCTTTGAAGGTGGCTTCTCTCGTCTTGCCCTAGTGTCGAAGCCATGTAAAAAGTGTGCTCGAGGTCCGAGAAATTCTGTGTTTTGCGCATTGCTCAAGGCCATTTTGGCGTCTAGCCCATTTGGGTGTTGCGATTTGGGCTAGAAAGAGAAGTAATACGTGCAAGCTGGAGCTAATGAGGGTTGTGCTCTGATTCCAGCTAGATCCAGAGGTACCGTAACTACGCGATGATTCTATAGGATGTCAGAGTACCCGGTATAAAAGAGACTCCATAGCACGCCCAAGCTCAGATTTTTGATATCTTCCAATTTTTTGGTGTTTATTCGTTATTTTTTTGCTTGTCGAGGAGGAGAACTACATTTTGGTATACTGTAATGAACCGTAACGGCCAGAGAAAAGGGATAACGCTGATGGGTGGTCAGCTAGGTGGCTTGAGACCCCTTATGACTCCAATAAATTATTTGATAGCTCCTCTGACGGAAACAAACACATTTTCGAGCAAGCAGTTTAGCGCGTTGCAGACATTTTGAGACACCCCGCGTATGAGGAAAAGCGACCCGGCATATCGCCTAGAAGTTGAAGATACCCTAAAGGTTGTAGAGAAGTTAATATGCGTATAACACGCCTCAGATCCGTCAGTACTAGTCCATTAGTAGGTGCTTCATCTTACCTGACTAGATCGAATTCATTTTGTGTTTTGCACCCTGTCCTTCCTATCTCTCCTCTCTTGTGTCTCGCAACTACCACCTTTTTGCTAATGTTGCACCCCCCGAGCACAGGCCAGAACACACAGAGCAGAGCGGTCACTTTTTGGGTGTGAATCTGCAGGCAGACCGCTTCTTTTGTTCGGGGCAAGATCTATGACACTAATGTCGTCTGACGGAGACCCATAAATTGATACCGGTAATACGGTGGCTCTACTTATAGCAAATCACCCCGCTCTGCTGAACGTGCAATTTGACACTTCCTTGTTCCAAAAGTTTCATAAGCCTCACACTACCAGTATACAGGGTGCCCCAAAAAAACGACCCATCTGGCATTTCGCCGTGGTACATCCAATCGGTCCCAAACTTGGACCAGAGGTGTATCATACCCTAAATAACACCAATCCTGACTTTTAGCCCCATTGCTACAGTAGTTTTAAAGTTATAGCAAAAATGAACTTTAATTTCCAGATTTCATAGGGTTAATTTGAAGTTAGATCCCCTAAACATTAAGTGAATCAAAATGATTAGGTATGCCTTCTTTACCTTAAGAAATTTTTTCCGGACTAAAATTAATCAAATAAGCGTCGATTTAAGCGATTTTTAAAATACAAATATACCCAAGTTCTTAAGCGAAATTAGGGATTCGGAGCCGGAAGTCGATGCAAATCGATGCAAAGTCCAAAAGGAAAGCAGAAAAAACTGTTTAGAATTGCGTGAAAAACAGTATTTTGGCTCTAACTTGACCACTACTGTAGCGATCGGGCTATAACTTAGGATTGTTGTTATTTAAGGTCTGATACACCTCTGGTCCACATTTGGGGCAGGTTGGAATGCAACACGGCGAAATGCCAGATGGGTCGTTTTTTGGGACACCCTGTAGTTGTAGTTTAGAGGAATTTCTGTCTTCATGAGTTTTCTCGAACCGTCATGATGATTTTCTAGCATTTGAATGGTCCCCGAATGCGCAAATAATTTTTTTTGACATTCTTTTAACGTGGAGTTTCGACGTTTTCCGAGTTTTATGTACAATTTTGCAAGAAAATCTCATGGTGTTTGGATTGAAAGGATGAGAATCCAATCAAAACCTTTCGTAGCTTTTATTTTTCTACGTTTTCGCGACCCTTCTGATGTCGAAAAACTCTGGCCTCCAAGATACTTACCCGTTGCTTTAAATTTAGTTCTTAGCGTATAATTTTTACCTTAGTTTTATGTAGTGCTTTTTGTAGGGTTTGTAGATGTTAAATATTAAATAGTTGCGCAACGGAATTCGGTAATTAAAATTTATTTCCCAGACATATTGGCTGATCATTATTTTGCGGCATCCGCCCATCCGCCAGCCATAAACATTGCTCAATAATCCAGGCATAAAATATTACGGCCCAGATTGCCCGCGGGGCCACGAAGGGACGCTGTTCAGCGCCGTTCGGGGGAATGGAAAGTGCAAGGATTGGGGCGGAAGAGTTGGCGGAAAAATAAAAAGAATGGGGGGGAACGGAAAGTGCGCAATGCGGAGTAACAAAACAGAGAGAGGGGAGGGAGGGAGGGAGAGAGAGAGAGAGAGAGAGAGAGAGAGAGAGAGAGACAGCGCGACGACAGGTTGTTTTCCAAAACAACCCACCCCTTTTTGGGGAGGCACAGAAGCTCTATTTTCAGCGATGGTGTCGAGGGGGTGATATTAGAATCCGGGTGTCTTGAACGTGCCCTTTTCATTTGTTCCCCTTTTCTTGAAGGGGGGGATGTCGCTAGACGCTAGGCATTTTTTCGTGTGCCTTGACGTTCAGCACTTATTTGCACATCGCGCTGGGCGTTCGGTGCTCGTTTTTGAAGAACACGTCTGATTGCTATCGCTCCGCAACGTTACGCTATCTCATGTGAGCATAAGCTTGAACCTAGCCAAGACATCCTAAAGCCTAAGACGAAGCCTAGTCGAATCCTACGCCTATTTATGAGTTGAAGCCTAGGCCAACGCCTGATTCAATCCCAGCACAAGCCGGAAGCCAAGCGCGATGGGACACGACAAAGCCTAAACCTAGCTACCAAAAACTCAACTATTTTCTCAGCCAAAAATAAGCTACCGTTACATCGATTCGATGTTCATAAGCCCTTCTACATGATTACTGATTTTCATTAGCGCGCTAGTAGTAGCGTTGCCTAAGGTACTTGTTGAGATACTTGTCGATGACTTTTCTTCAAAAATTGGCACTTGCATGGCTTTTTTCAGCGTAATCGGCAGCTCTTTGTAACAAGCGTCATCGCATGTCACTGTGAGAGAGACTCCGCTCTAATGCAATTTGACAAATTGGTTAAGCGGCACAGCGGGAAATTGAGATGTAAAGATTAAATTCGCGCTCGATTTAGCTACGCTGACCTGAGCAAGGTTTCCAGTTTTCCCGTACTTTATTCTTTTTTAAAATGTTTCTGAATTCTGCGGGTATTTTTGGCTGCAGACTATCCTCGCGTGTGAGCTTTAAAAAACTCTTAGACAATGGGGCTCATTGTCCAAAACTCCATAGCCATGGTCGCTTATCAATCAGAAGCCCGATTCCTTTGTCTCTGAAGTGAGGAAAGGAACAGAACATTTTTTATCAAGAATGTCCCAATCGGGAGCCGCCGTTCCGAATGGTTTTTTGCACTTGGCAACAGCTGGAACGGATCAGTCTCATTGATTTGGGTCAAGCTGCATGGTGCCTTCAATAAGCCACTTTTGACTTTTATTCCCATTTTAACTCTTTTCAGTACGATTTTGTCAGAATGCGATCTCCGAATCATAAGTTATATGATGGCGAGTTTTGTATTATCCAGCATTTTTTGCGTTTTTCCTTTTATTACTCGCTTTTGCGTGTTTCCACATCCACTTATTATTTCAGAATTTTCACAAGAATGCGATTGATGCAAGTCATCAGAAGATCCCCGGATCTGCCGGGGATGATGCAGTTGAGCACAGGGATGTTGTGCCTCGTAGCCGCTTTCGAAATCCAGGCCCAAGTCGTGGTGAGTTTTAGTCCAGGAATTTGCAATCTATTTTTAATTTAAGATCCCCGTTTTGAGAAGTATCGCCGACGAGGGAGGGCATGGGATTACAGATAAATCTGGATATTACGTGTAAGTGAATCTCTTGTGATTGCAGGAGTATCCGGCGGCTAATTAGAATGGGGCAATACGGGCCCATAGCACGTTAAATATTCGTGTCTTCTGGGTCCCTTTAAGATTAAAAAACCCCCAGACTTTATACTACTACTCTACTTTTGACATTTTGACATTGACAGTCATTTTCAGGAGTACCATCCTCTACCTCACCTACACTTTTATGAATTTCCTAGTACCGCCAGTCATTGCTAAAATTGGCCCAAAGGTGAGGAATATAAAAAATTATGAAGTTATCAAAAGCTCACAAGAATCGATGAATGTGTTGTTAATCCATAAAATCCATCCAGAATCCATCCAGAATCATCCAGAATCCATAAAATTGCTTCAAATAAAATAAAATTATTTAAAAACTCTAAAAAACCAACCAAAAAACGATATTTAGTGGGCAATGGTGGCCGGTATGCTGTGCTACGTTACCTATATGCTGGGCTTTTTGCACGTCGAGGGCTGGCTACTGTACTCGCTATCGGCTCTGTTGGGTCTAGGAGCAGCTTGTAAGTTCAATACCTTAACAGAATCACGAAATATCATGGATGAGAAACATTGAATTAATTAAGAACCAGCCCCAAAATTTTATACATTACAGTACTCTGGACGAGCTGCGGGGTGAACTTGGTGCGAATTTCTGAGGAGAAGAATGTAGCCAGGAACAGTGCAATTCTCTGGACTACCGTGCAATTTTCTCTCATCGTCGGGGCCGCTTTCCTGATTATTGTTTTACGCAGCGAGTACGTTACTTTCCTATATACCCCAAATCGCGGATCTTTCGTAGGGAGCTTTCCAAAAAGCTACCGCGTCATCTACATGGCGTGTGCCGTACTTGGGCTCGTTGGTGCCGGAATTATCGCGTTGATGCCTACGCCGCGTAAGTTGGAGTGAAGCGGACTGGACGAGCACTTTCATAGTCCCTATAAAAACCTCAGAATCGCTAGATTCGACACGGATTTTCGACTAGGTCTCGACAACCTTCAAAAGTTTCCGCAGTTTCCGAAACTTTGTTGTTAAAGAGGAACGATTTATAAGCTTTCCCGTCCCGTTAATAGATTCTAATCCCAGAGTTCAAACAACTACGACATTTTTTAGAACTTCGCCGAGGCTCCTCTTCAAGTGACGGATCAGCCGACTCGAACATGTCCGTGCTGAATGCTTTTGGTTGGTTTCTATGGCTATAAAATTGTTGTAAAGTCAATATTACTAATTTTAATAATTTTAGAAGACACCTTCCGACTCCTAAAAACCAAGGAAATGATGCTGCTCTGCGTGGTGTTCTTTTTTCAACGGTTTCCAAACCGTGTTTTTTGGCGCAATGTACACTGCTTCTCTGGCTGGTTGGTTTCATCCCAAATTTCTTGGGATCGTTGCATTCTTGCCCCGACCTTATTTTTGCAACGGGCACACTAGCAAGGATAATTTAGGAATTTCAGAAACACCAAAACAGGCTCACGTCATTGAAACTATTGTCGACTTTAAGGAATCAAACATTTTTCAGCAACAACTCGCATGGACAGTCACGAAATTGCCATCGCATACGCTATGTTGGCCATTGGAGCTGGAGAATTTTGCGGTAAGAGTTTTTAGAATACAGTACCTAGGTCAAATTTAGCCGGCACATTCTTCGGAATCTCGGGCAACAGCCGTGGATCGCAATTCGGAAGAAAACGAGTGGCAGTGATTGGGACGTGCTTGCTGCTGGTGGCAAACGTTTTGTCCATTATCAATTTGCCGCCGGATGCGCCGCTTCATGAGACGGATAATATTGGCTTCATCGAGCCTAGGTCAGTGTAGAGAGAGAGAGATGGAGAGAGTGATAGAGAGAGGGAGGGAGGGAGCGAAAGCGAGAGAGAGAAAGCGACAGAGAGAAAGCGAGAGAGAGAGAGAGAGAGAGAGAGAGAGAGCGCGAGAGAGAAAGACAACGAGAAAGAGCGAGAGAGAGAGAGAGAGAGATAGAGAGAGAGGGTGACAAGGATTAATTTGGACTTTTCAGCCTCTGGATCGCCCTCTTCGTCGCCTTCCTCCTGGGACTTGCCGATTGTTGCTGGCAAACACAGACGTATACAATTCTGGGTGGAATGTACAAAGATGAGCAGTCACCGCCGGCTTTTGCCCTCTTTCGGTGCTTCCAGGTTAGCTAAACCGTTGAATTTTTTTCTTTTTGCCATGAAAAATACAAGCAACAACATCCGCTTCTTTCAGGCCCTCTCCACCAGCATCGGCTGCTTCATCGCCCCGCAATTCGAGCTGTACTGGACGTTACTCATGACGTCTGTATTGTCGATCGCAGCATCATGTGCTTTCTGCGCTGTCAACAAGATGGCGTTGGAGCGGTACCACGATGATATTGAGAAATCGGAGTTTTCCTCAATCGAAAGCCAAAGCCCACCACCTTCTCCAACCGAGGAGAAGATCACCTCTAATTTTATCTAGAAAATATAATTATCAAGTTTATTTATTGTTTTTCCCTTGTCTTTTTGGCCCCAGCTATTTCTTATAATAGTCCGCTTTAAAATAACTGTAAGATTGAGATGACCACCCAGCCGACTTCTCACTTTTGTATCTCGGTTTCCCAGTATCGTGGAGGGGTGTAAAGCATACCAAAACGTTCGCCTTGGATTGGTGATTATTTTCGTATACCTCACAGGCTTGTAGAATCCGGTAGCCAAGCTACATTAGGTACGAATTGGCCGGGGGTCAGAGATCTGAAGTCTCACCCATTTTTTCTTTTAACCCATAAACTTTATTATACGAGCTTGTCTTATAATTATTGTTCTCTCATCAGCGAATTATGGTAGCATTTTATGTATGGCAGAATTTATGATTGTGGGTCCTACTGTTTTTCGTATTTTTCTTTGTTTTAGTCACTGTGAGAAAACAATAGCATTACGGCTTGAATTTCCCCTCTCTTTCCCCAACTTTCCTCTCATGATCTCACCATATGAAATGGAATTTACTGGATTTGCGCTGAATTTTCGTGGTATTTCCACTGGTATCGAAAACGGTTGTATTTCATGACGTTGTTCAGCTGTCTGGTATTTTGTAGTTTTTATAATTGTTAATAAAATATATTGATTTGGCAATTTTTGTTTAAAAACCTAGTGCAATTTAATTCCAAAACGACAAAAATATAATAAATCCGATGAGGTTGATAAGCTGGAAGATGACATGAAAGGTGAAGTGTCGGGTGAAGATGTGTTCGTTGACGTAGAGCTTGAATAAGGACCTAAAGGGTCCGAATGTGGCAAATCCAGACAGGACAACTTTTTTAGACTAATTGAACCTGATTCCAACGGAACCGGGAATCGCGAAATGGTCTGTTTTTCTTCCATAGGTCTTTACAGATAGGCAAAGCGAAAAAAAACTGTCTGAAAATTCGTTTTTACCGGCTTGAAGGGAATAGATTTTAAGCAAAGGCACCACGCGAGTAGTACCGTCTTTAGGTGTAACTCGTAGCTCTCGGTTAGAGCCATATTTGGACTCCTTTTACACTCTTTAAGACGGCATGAACTCACCTAGAATCCATGGATTTCTGCTTCTCAATCGACCTCTGAACGTCTAGGTTCGATTTCCGGTGGTAGTTGTCGAGCGGGAAAACGACGACCAGCACGCATGATAAAGAGGTTATTCCTACGCATAGGACTACGTAGATACCTTAAAAAAACAAGAATTTTCATAGACTTTTATGCATACCTAACAACGGGAAAGCAGCCGTCTTCGGGATGGCTTCTGCTAGCATTTGCAGGAGTACGGTCATAGAGACGAGGCTGGTCAGGCCGATGCCAAGCTGGAAAGTATTTCATTCGCTAGTTCGAAGCAAAGCCTAAGCTAAGCCTAAGTTAAGTCCAAGCTAAACCGAAGCTAAGCCTAAGCCGGCTTGGGCCAAGCCGGAGCTAAGCTCGAGAAAAGCCTACCTTGGTCAACTGTTCCGCCTTGTAGTTTGGAGTCCAAAACATTCCAACAGCCGAGAGCATCGTGAGAATAAAACATGGGATTGCGATGACGTAGACGTAGAAATTCGGAACTCTTCGGAGCGTTAGTTGGTAGTTCATCTAAATGGGTAGCTGTCGAAATTACCTTAAATCCCTATACCTTGGCAATCCCATCTTCACCCTGACCGTACGACGTATAGATTGTACTTAGGTCTATCAAGTCCCACTCGCCATTGCCCTGAAAACTTAACAGGTTACGATATTTTATGTTTTAAAGGGATTGCAAAGGCTTGGATTACCTGATTTTGAATCTGTATATCACTCATCGAACCAGTAAGATTGAGGAATTTTCTAAAGGAAAATTCACCCAAGTTAAGCTCAACTTACGCCTCATAGGCCCAGGTTAAAAACGGTATCATGCAGATCTGGGTGTCGAAGGGGAATTTTGATACCTAAAAGCTAAATTAGCTTCCTTAAAAAAACAGAATAAATAAGTAACAAAGAAATTAAAAACCAGCAATAAAAATGAATCAAAATTACCTGCATCCTACAGATATTCTCGGTAAAATATTGCGTGGGCCATTTGACGCGCCCGGTATTTAGGACCTGGAGGGCTCGAATTTCGTCCGGGCGCGTGATGGAGGCGCCGGTGCTGAAAGGTCAACTTTTAGAAAAGCGGATTTAGAGACATAAAAAAAGCATAGCCAGACACATTAACGAGACTTACGCAGTGCCAACATTCGTATCCGGTAGCCATAGCAAACTCTCGCTGAGGTATATTTGCTTAATGCCACCGTAATCTTCTGGATTCCAAGCGAGTCGGGGGTCTCGCCACTTCTAAAAATGCAGAAAAATGAAAAACTATAAGGTTAAAGGACTGGCAAGACATATTTTGTGATCTGTTAGCTATGCATTCCTATGGATTTTTACACGCCCGCGACACGCAAAGCGAGCCTGTGGCGTGGTGACGAGCGAGCGCGTTGCGTGTCGCGACGCTCACAGGTTCAAGACGAAACGGAAATCCTTAACAACCCATTAGAATACGATGAAAATTCAATGATTCATTTCTCACCATTTTTATCTGGTAGATCGTCGACAGCACCTGCGTCTGGGCTTCCTAAACGGAGCAAAATTAAGAATTATCAATCTTAGATTTTAATAATGAACATAAAATAAGTAGAGAGTAATAATATTGAGTATTTTTGGCTATAAAAAAACTTACCAATCCAACAATCTGAATGTAGAACAACTTTATTTGAATGTTGAGCGGCGGGGTATCAGATTCTGAAGCGAAAAGATGGGTATTAAGGTATCGGAAAGGTGTCAGAGGGTAGCTTAAGCCTCACCAGATATATTATCCGGCATTAACCCATAAACCGGCGACATCAATTTGTTATAGCTTCGATTTGTGAAGATTTCTTGGTATAATCGAGCATAGTCGTTCATGTAATTCGAATAGGACTCTGAAAAAACTTCTAACTTTTTATTTTGTGACTATTTTAGCGAATTTTCTGATTTTTATGACTGGAAATTCATTTTCAATAACCTACGACTATCCCCATATTTAGTGTAGTCCATTTGAGCATTATTGATGGGAAAATTGAGCAAGACCATGAGTATCAGCAGAATCATTGAGAGCGAATAGTTTTCCAGAATTCACTCTAGTGTGTCCCAAACCGGGAACTAGCTATTTATTGGGTAGTAAAACAGGTGAAACTCGATCAGGCGCCGCCGAATCAGGTGCGCGGCCAGGACAGCCGATGAAAATTTGGGCCGACAAACACCTTTTCCGGCGGTCGACGGGGAGGGCCCAATTGAACCCAAGTGGGTACATTCAAGAGAAAGGTCAGTCTGGGACTGCGATTTTAGACGAATGCAGATTGGAGGGTGGCAGACTGGAGGTTGGTCGTGTTTAAATCGCGTTTGATCGGATTCTGGTGACTGAAAGCAGTTATACATTGAAAAAGTCCGTAAAGGGACTCCCTCAACAAGGCCTTTTTTCATAACGAGGATAGTGCCTTGCGAATATCACCGAAGCGGCCAAATCCGTACAGAATCGAGGAAAAAAAGATCTCCAGCCATTTCTTGCGCGTTAGGTGACTGCAATTTTCCCCTATTGTATTTATTGTATAGCGTATTGCGTGGCTGCTTGATCCATAATCAATCGATGGAAGCGAGCCCACAACCACTCTTCGCGCTCCCCTTTAATGCAAGCAAGTGGGGTTACAGGAAAACGATTCGGCTCCTAGAATCATCATTTAATGGAAGCCAAAAAACATACAAGCTACAGATCTTCGAAGCTCTGATAAACCATTTTAAAAATCATGAAACCCCTCATCATCAATTTATGCCTGATTGGCAGCGAATAGACAGCAAACTAAAGTTCGCAGAGGCCACGGTAATTTCAAACTTGCTAGCCCTTATAGACTTTATTTTTTTGCGTTTTTCTGCATACTACTTTAACCAAAAGATTCTGCTATCGACGTGGAATTGTGACTGAATTATTTAATTTGTCTTATTGTTTCGCGGTAAGCCGCATGGAACCGATTTTCCTTCAGCGAGCATTTCCTTCGACCCCCAATTTTTCGGGAAAATTTCTTTTTCATGGTCCCTCCATTTCCCCTCTTCCTCGCTTCGAAATTGGAAATTCCGTCCAAATGTTTTGGGGGAGCCGCGACGATGACATTAGCGCCTTTCCTGATTCCAGACAATACACCCCGGCGGCCTCAAAGTTTTATTAATTCATCATCGATGACTTGAAAGGCTTCTGGAAACAGCGAAAAATTTTGTATAGTTGAAAGATTCCTAAATCACCACGGTGTAGTGTAGAAAATTCAGAAAATATGGCAGCTATGTGCTTTGGCATTATCGATGAGGGGCTGGGTTTAACAGAGGCGAGTAGTGGCGGCTCTAATGTCCGATTTTTCTATTACAGATCGGAAAATGTTTCTAAAATCTTTTACTACTTAAACTCTCAAAACTTTACAAATTTTTAGTCAAGGTCAAGCAGAAATTTTTGACCAATAATAACCGTTTTTCACCAAAGGCCTCCAATTTTCGACTTTTTAAGGCCTTGAAATAGTTTTTCACCCAAAAATCCTAGTTAAATTGTCCTAGAAACCTATTAAAACTTACTATTGCATTACATTGGAGTTTCGGCAGTAGTAAAAACAAGGTTTCTCACCGATACCCACCTCACCCCCGATAAAACGAAAAGAGCCGGAAGCCATGAAAAGAAAGTTTCGAAAGAAAGGTTTCATAAAGTGTCAGCAGCCCGTATCGCCCCCTCTCATTTATTGCCAAAATAATATGTGACAAAAACAAAGATATTGGTACAGACAAAATTTTTTATATGGCGAGGAGAAAATCGAATCGAGGCGATGATGAGGAGCAGCTAGTGGAGGAAGTGGTTGGATGATTTGGCGGACGTGGAGGGGTCTAGTACTGCCAGTCAAAGATGCTCTATCTTGGCCTGTTGCTTGGCGGATACTCCCTCGGCAATACGTACGCATCGCTGCGCATCTTCGGCTGGCCGGTCGCGGGCTGGCGCTTTTGCAGCGCTCTTTCCCTGAGAAAATGCGTATTATCCGGTAAAGTCTCGCTGGAAAAAGCCGGTAGGGGCCAGGTAGATTTAACTGAAACCAGGGCTGAAAAGCCGCTTCGCGACTTTTCAACCCTGGGCCCCGTCTCGACCCTATAATTCCCGCTCCTTTGCATAATTGTCCTCCATTCAGAAGACAAAAAAATGAAAACAACTCCTTTCTGCCTCTTCATATAGTCGACCACTCCACTTCCGGTCTATGCTAATTATCCCTAACAAATAGGTTTTTACAAAAATCTAAATTTAATGGACAAATGGCTAATTTTTAAAAATCTGATATGTGTGCAGTCATTCCTAGACCATTGCGTGCACCTAATGACGTATCATACGTAGCCTAATCACTCCGTCCCTTCTTGAGATATCCTCCGGACAGACAGACGGAAATGGATGCAAAGTGGTACACACACACAGAGACACACACACACACAGACACACTATTTTTTTATATATAGTAGGATGTTAAAAAAATGATGACCGACCAATTGACGACATGTTGCTCTATTTTTCTGAGAACTGTGAGATGCTGACTCTTGGTAGTCGAGGTATTCCAGTAGAATTGCGTACAATGGTCAATGCGGTCGAACCGACAATGGCATTGGTAGATGTGCATGGCTGGATGACGTGGTGTCGGAGTCGTGGTGGGTGACCTGGGTAGGTGGATCTACTCCGGTGGCGGACGGCTCGCTGGTGGACGTACTTGCTGGTGCCTCGGAGCGAGTTAGTAGCCGGTAGTCGTGGTTGTGGTGTTCGTCGTCGACGAGGGTGAAGTCGGTTCCTCTGAAAGCAGCTGCTGTTCCTGGATTTATCTGCTCAAAAATTTGCTCGAAAACGAAAACACCGCCTTCTTCCTCCTTTGAATCCTAGTAAAATCTACCGGTTGTCGGAGGGGCCGGAAGGCAAGGTTGCGCTGTTTGGGAGCTAGAATT